ATAAACAAAAAATATTTATATTCATCATAATATTTGTGATATATGAATAATTTTTAGTCTATTACCTCGTTTATATAGGCAGCTTGAGTACTTCATTTGATATCTTCTTGAACTGAAACTGCGTTTTTACTATGTGAGCTTCAAACCGAAAAATAACGTTTAATCATGGATCTAATAATACATGGATTGCTAGCGTTCATATATTTCTCAATGAAAATGAAGCCGACATAAAGTACACTCCCGCATTACATAAAATAGTGTAACTCTTAGTGTACTATTACGTCAAATTTACAATGCCAAATTTTATATTTAACAAATTTTAGCATTACCATAGTGTCTTGTTTTCAATGCAATCAAATTGTAGGCTCTTTTCAGTTATTATTTACATTTTCGTTTTCGGAAAAGTAAAAAATATTTAAATTTAGATTTTTTGTGCGAATATTACGAAAAAAAAAATTCTGAAAATATTAAATTTTATTTTGTGGTAAAATTGTGGTAAGGTTGGCTTTACCAGTAAATCAATTTTCTAAAAATATTAATTTTATTAGTAAAAAATATATAAATATTTTGAATTGTGAACATAAATTTAAAAATAATAAAGCATTTTTTAAAATATTATTTCACATTTTTTGCAGTTCAAATATTTTGCTTTAAACATCTTTGAAATTGTCTTTTGCTGTACATATATTTGATTTATCCTTTTAAAACTTTATTAAGTACACAAAATAACGATTATACTCGTACAAAAATTTTAATCATATTTACCAATAACGATAATTGAACACGAAACTATACGGTTGAGTTCTTATACGTTTAATAAAAATGGAAAGCTTATAAAATACTACAATGCTTTGCACAGAAAACTCATAACGGTACAGGTAGACACAAAAATAATTTCCTAATGGTAAATAGCTATTTGTTCTGTTTGCTAAATAGGATATAATCGCAACAACAATTCGTTTGAAGCAGGTATGTTTTAAGCATTTTGTGATGCTACAGCTTCTAAGACGACTCTACGGTGATGGTTTTCAGCAATGAAATTTAAGTTTTAAGAGTGTGTTTTATTACACTAGTTTGTGTATAAAAATTATACTGCTTATAATTTATGACTTATATCACAATCATACACTGTGACTTTGTTCCGTTATCCTTCTCATTCAATTTTAAAGTTATAAAAAAACCCTTAACATTAAATTTAAGAAAAAAATATTCGCCAACATCTATTTTAAAAAACTATTTTGTTTTCTGACCAATGACGTAATATATTACACATAAGCAATAATATACAGAAATATTAAGTAAACATAATTTATTTTAATTTTCAAGAAGTTGTTATGTATGTCTAAAATATAAATATATATGTATGTATGTTTATTGTATTGTTGAAAAATTATAGTATTTTTATTGAAAAAACAACTCACATAAGGTTCAAACTATATTCATATTTCCTAACTATATTTTCAAACCGTCTCTGGCAGCACTTTTTATAAGCAACATATATTAAGTTGACTTCAAAAATTATTACTAGTCAACTTTTCATGTGTTATTAGATCCATGCGATTATTACATAAATTTCAACTTATTATTAGCATTTCAAGTCAAGTAAGCAAAATTTCTAGATTGATTTGATTAAAGTGGGCTTCAAGTCAAGAAACTTTTGTATATAAGCGCCTGAATAGGCTTGATGAACACCTGAAACTGCCATATAAACGGGTAAAATGGACGTCAACTCAAATACAGGTCTATTTGACTTATCTGAATAAGTCAGAGATTGTTGTTAGTTGATTGAATGTTGTTCTCATTAAGATTTTTAGGTATTTTTAGCACTTTTCCAAAAAATTTGTAAAAAAGGGCTTATTAGTTTCACTTTGGCCGTCGGTCTGTCCGTGGACATGTTTACAAAACTACTAAACTCTTTAAGATAGAAAGCTGAAATTTTTTATGTACATAGATCTTAACTAGGAACTTATTTCTGTAGAACAAAATTTTTATCTATCTCCCCCCCTCTAAAAGCTATACTCTCTTAAAACCCCTAAAAACGGCATTTTTTAACTATTTATTACAGTAAAACCATAAGCATTTTTCAAATTTTGGAAAGGCAGAAATATAGTGGATGGCCTCTTCTACAACGGCATAATATTTCTCAACTTTAAAAAAACAAAATTCCGTTAAAATTTACCACGCTAATATATACTTCATTTTATTAGAAGAAAATTTTTTCATTTCCACCCCTCTCAAATTATCGCCTCTCGAAATTTGTAAAATTCGAATATTTCTGAACATTTCGAATTTTTTCTGAAACCGCAAGCTCTTTTTCAAATTTCTATAAACGCAGAAAGCTAACGGTAAATTCCATTGCATTCAAAAATATAATTATTTTTCTTAACTTACGCAATTACCCCTCAAAATGTTAACCGGCCCTCTTTAAATTAATTTTTGCTTTATTTCAAAGACTGCATAAATCGTTCATTATAAGTAAGTGTATGCGATCCTAGAAGTAGTTTCGTAGTATATGAATGAAAATATGTAGTAAGTATACATAGATTGTTTTTAAAAGCAATATTTTCACTTGTTGAAAGGAAAAGTGCTACAATACAAACCATTGGTTTAACCCAACTTTATTTTTTTATGTTTTTATTAATTTTCTAGTTTTAATATATAGATTCGGCGCGGTTTACGACGTTTTTTAATTAATTTTCGTTTTACGATTTTTTTTGTTTACCTCTAAAATGTTCGATTTAAATTATAATTTGTAAAATGCACTTTTTCTGATTTACGTCCATTAATTTTTTATTTTTTTCTTATTTCGATAAATTTTGAAGTTTCGACGAATTTTTTCGATTTTGTTTCATTTCTTTACGTTTTACGACCACAAATTTGGAACGCATCTAGGACGTTAATCGAGGAACTAATGAATATTATAAATAGTATTAATGACAATTAGTAAGCATTTATAAATCTAACATTTTTGAAAGTAAGAAATCCCTGTCACCTGCGTATTGAAATCCTTTTATGGCATATATCACACCGAGATTTTCAAAACTGCAAACTAATAGACCAATTCGACATTTATTTTAAAAAATTGTAAAGTCATTTACCGAAATAATTTTACATAATTATTTTTCTCTCCTCTGTCTAAATTATATACTACTTTGTATAAATTGCGATGCAGTTAAGAGTGTTATAATGAGTACGTATAATTACAGGCCGTATTGTATACAATAAAAGAGGTTATGGGATGGCAACACATATTGCATATCGAGTTTTCGATGAGAACGCACTTCTCATTATGTTTTGTTTAGAGCACGTTTTTGCATTTTGCAGGGAGAAAAATTAACCGTATTGCCCTTGATTCAAAAGAAAAGTGCGAATTTTTGAAATATCCTAAAATAAAATTTACAATAACTTAATAAATGTTCTAAAATATGGTAAATTTTGAAGCATTTATGGAATTAAAGATGTGTAGAGAAGCCACCTTTTTAGGGAAAATAAATTAAATTTCAAACTTTTTTTTTAAATTAAAATAAAGAAATAATATTATATGTACCCAGCGATTTTACTCTAATCTCAGTTGATTAAAATTTACTAATCTTATACTTAAAACTAGAATTGGTTTTGTTTGTATACAGGCAAGAAAAATGGTAATTTTTAACCATTTTATATATAAATGGTAACTTTTAATGAATAAGAGAATTGTACCGTATAAATGTTTTGAAAATCTTCTCCACATTTCACACTTTGTTAAACCTATACTCTAAAAATATGTGAACTTATATTTAAAAATCATTCAAAACTCAAACTCGTTTAAATTAATTGAATTGAAAATTTGAAAACATTTAAACGACACATAATATATATATAATATATAATATTTTTTGATGTATACCTATTTCTATAGTATTGTTTGGTGTATATCAAACATTTATATATATATATATATATATATGTATATATATATAGATATATAAAACTTTATAAACTTTAAGTAAAATTTAGAAATTTTCATACATGTATCTATTACGTGATCTGAGCAATCGAATTATATATAGTTAGACTTAATTAATTGCAATTAAAATATTGCACAAATTTAATTCGGAATATTATATAAATTTAAAAAATGGAATTTTATTAAAAGAATATATATGTATATATTATAGGTTCTGGATACAACTATATTGTATCTTAAAAACATACCCTGACTTCGAAATTGCAATAATAAAGTATTTATACAATATTCAGCCTGACAGGTTTAATTGCTGAATTATGTATTCAGACCATATTGATGTAATTTTGAAGTTACGCATAGTATAGCATATTACATAGAACACAACTTACAACAAAAGTTATTTTCATATTTGTGGAATTTCTATACTAAAACTAGGAATACAAAAATTTATATATAAGTACATGCGCACCCATGGTTCTTGAGCATTCATATATGAAACTGGGAAAACTTTTATTGTAAGTCTTTTCTTTGGAATAGTTCTATTTGGAGCCTTATATATGTATATATTAAATATATATTAAGTATTCATTATTATTTCATTCGGTTTTTTACTTTTGTTTACGTGAAAAACTCAATATATCTATATGAAGAAACTATATGTGTGTTGAGTGCATTGAATCTGAATGTATATTTACATATATATATATATATATATATACAAATTTTTTTCATAAGATATAATAATTTTATATATAAAAAATTTATGCTTAAAATATTTTTAATTTTTATATAAAAAAACCAAAAATTTCTTTTCACAAATTTTAATAATAAAATATTTTATTTATATTACATATTTTTATTTTTGAATATCGATATATATGTATACACATATATATACATATATATATATATATATATATATATATATATATGTATATATATATATATATATTTATATATATTTATATGTATATATACAAATATATAAATACTTATATATATATATATATATACATGTATATATATATGCATATAAAATATATAACAAAAAAAGCAGGAAACAATATGAAAAAATGCCGGGCTAGATTTGGTTTAGATCAACAAAATCAATGGTGTAAACCTTGCAGGTAAGAAAATATATTTACTTACATACACATAAACAGAAAAGCTATATAATGAAAAATAAGAAAGAACAAAAAAAAAATAAAAACCATGTAAAATTTAATATTCATGATTATATACCGCTGGTTTCAACACATTTGTATATATTTTCATATATAGGTTAATAGATTTGGCTCAGGAGTTAATAAGTGTATAAGTCAGGACATATTTTTGGACGGGGTTTCCTAAGCGTTCAAGAACAGCTTTCCAACTCCCTTTGGAATATGTCCAGCTTTATACGTAAAACAGGGAAAATATAGGCGAAGCGTGGGCGGGCCACAATAAGTCGACTAGCTGCGGTGGCCCGGAAAAGATGCTCTTTTCTCACTTGGTTCTCTTGAAAATCTACAATCTGCAATGTAAAAGTTAGCAAATATGTTGATTCGGTTACAAAAATCAAAAAGTTTAAAGCAATCGAAAAACTCTCACAACAACCTTTGCGAGAAGACGTTAACTCAAAATTTTTGTTATCTTCGAGACCAGGCCTAAAATTTTAACTAAAATAATATTAAAAGAACACACTATTTTCATAAATATAAATAAACTCATTTTGGTATAAAAATGGGTGATTAATACTCTGATTGACCAAATACTATGAATGAGACGTTTGCTTCGTTTCCTTGAATATTTCATATGTTTATGATATTTTGTTATAAAATAATATTAACATACGTGAATTTGCTATTCTGACATACCTACATATATTTCATAAATAATTTTCATTATATATTTAATAATAATAAATTAAAATGAGAAAATTTAACATTTACAGTTTTAGACAATACGAGTATTACGGCATTACAAAACTTTAAGTTGTGCTCTAGCATCATATAATCATGTATATTATATTTTCAAAAAAATATAATTTTTAAATCCATTATATACATATACGTTATAAACATACAAATAAATACATTGTATACATAATTATATATTTGAAAAATTATTTTAATATACATATATTTGTAGAATTAATATAGAAAAAAACACGAAATAAATCTTAACATATTCAAGATTCTAAAACAAAATGTATATGAAAATGCTATTTTTTATTCATATACATGTATATATATGTATATATGAATATATATATATATATATATATATATATATATATATATAGTAGTAATAAATTAATATATACATAAAAGTATATATATATATATATATATTTGTTATCTTCGAGACCAGGCCTAAAATTTTAACTAAAATAATATTAGAAGAACACACTATTTTCATAAATATAAATATATATATATATATATATATATATATATACTTTTATATTCAAACAAAAAATTAACAATCACAGGGCATCACTATATAGGCCTTTAAAATCATATACAGCATAACATTGTATTTGTTCACAATTCAGCAATTATGTATTACTCATTTGCTGAATTGTGTATTAAAATTGTGTGTTACTAAAATAATTTTGAAGTCACAGAATAGGGCTCAGGAACTGAACCAAAATTCACTTTTCTCATTAGTTTCATAGTCGAATTAAACCTATATTTAAACAGTGCGGTGAGTCATTTTCAAGTTAAGCTACTAAAAACACTGATGAAATACAAAAAAAAAATTTACTTAAATATAACCAAATTTAAATTAGCGAAAAACGAGAAAAAATAGAGTTGACCTTGTAAACTCTGTGATACCCGTACGAATTTCTCAACCTATATGTGCGAATAAATATGCCATAGCTGACTATGACTTTAAGTTGTCTATTACAATATTAATTTATGCCAAATTTCAGTACTGTGTTTTCAATATTATCTAAGATATTACCAAACTACTACTGAAGTTGTATGAGAAATACCAGAAGGAGCCAAGAGATTTCAACGACTTTTATCAAACACATTGGCCCTATTAATATATTCGCTTGTGTGAAATTTCAATACCATAGCTTCTTTAGTTTCTGAGATATAGCCAAATAAATTTTGAAGTTGTATGGCAGCTACCCGAACCGGTACCCCGATCATGTCCAATTTAAATAGTGTTCTGGCACTTACTACAATAAATCATTTGTGAAAATTTGGTGAATTTAGCTCAATTAGTTTTTGAGTTATCGTTGGGACGGACGGACGGACAGACAAAGCTAAATCAACTCAAAATTCGACGCTGATCAAAAACATACACTTGAGTCTATATCTAAGACTGTTATATCTTAGAGTTACAAACGGTATGGCAAATTTAGTATAGAACATACGTTCGTACTGGTATAGATATGATTTTCCTATTTCTTCAATACGCAATAGACTTTAAACATGATATTGTATCTCAGAAGTATGTCAGTATTATTGTTACAAATTTGGATTGAGGATTAATATTTGCGTATTAATATTTGGAGTTTTTTTCTTGTTTTACACAGTTGTTATATACAACTGCATATCAATCAAAATATTTTTACGAACCACATTACATACAATAAAAGAGGTTATATGATAGCACCATATTTCGGATTTCGAGTTTTTGGTGGTAACGTACTTCTCCACAGTAGGGAACCGTAAATAAACTTTTAGAAGAATGCCGGTCTGTCTGTCTGTCGGTCTGTGTTTGGCTGAACCGATTTTGATGAATTTTTATATGTTTATTTTGACTATAGCACTAATTGATTAATTTAAACCTTTTTGCGGGCCGATTTTACATTTTTACACAAAAAAAGAAATAGTTATCCAATTTCCGTGAAATTTGATGTTTAAATTTGGGTAAAAAAATTAACTTATAAATTTTTTGGAAAGATCAAAGCTCGGAAACCATCAGAGGCCGATTTTACAATTTTTACCATATCTACGGAACGAATTGATGAAATTTCTTGAAACCTAGTATTAGAATTCTGGTTGTTACAGAAACCAACTAGTCTCAGGGAATTCGGATGGTACACAACGAAACTCTACTAAGAGCCAGTTTTACATTTTTTTAGGTATGTTAACTAGTATTTATTTTTAAACTCTGGGTATTTTTAAAACTGTTCCTTGTTATCTTCTGAATCGTATTACAGTTTTAGAAATATCATTTTTTGTGGTGCAACATTTCTTCGAAACCATATTTATAAGATATTTTAAACTTCTTTAAAGCAAAAAGGATGTAAAATTGTCTGTGATCGCTTTAAATTATTTTAGTTAAATAAATTTTGTCCTGTCATTGTTAAAAAATTAATATATATATATATTATATATTTATAAATATATATATTATATATGTAATATATATATATATATATATATATATATATATATATACATATATATATATATATATATATATATATATATATATATATATATATATGTATTTATTATATATTTTATAAATATGTACAGATTTATTATATTATATATAGATTTATATACTGGTTTATATCTTTCATTCATTATTATATATACATATATATATATATATATATATATATATATATATATATATATATAATGAATTAAAAATTATAATTTATAATACAAAATAATAGAAAGTAGAAATAAATTTTATTTACTCATACTTATTTTCAAATTGTTTTTTATACTCATTTTTTTTAATAGTAAAAATTTTTTTATATACTGGGTGATTCAGTAAGGAATACAACATTATATATTGACAGTTTCCGAGGTACAGGAATTTCAACGAATTTTCACGAAATTTTTACTTGCTCAAGCTTTTGAGCTATTAACTTCCATTCCGAAAAAGAAAGCTTTTGAAAGAGTTAATTCCAAAATGAAATTTTAGATGCTGTAAACATTGATATATAACATTGTACTCTTTACTGAACCCTGTATATACTGAAATAAGAAATATATTTCCGTGACTTCAAAAATGTAATAAAAACATAAATACCGTTATACAATGAGGCATCTTATTCAAACGCAAGTTTTATAAAAGCTATTGACGTTGTATTATTCAAAAGTGATTTTAGTACATATGTAGTTGATACGTAAAGTAAAAGCATTGAGTGTGAGATCTCATGAAAAAATTAAAATAAACGCGAGCGCATATTTTTGACAGAAAATTTAATTCGTTCGTAATTATTAAAAATTACCTAGTAATTATAGTAATATTCAAAATAACTTTTTGTATTCCAGTTGAGAAATTTTGGTTTTATTAAAATTCAAGAAGATGGGAGGGTAAATTTTAATAATTTTCTAGTAAAAGCTTTCGTAACTTTTATACAATGCATTTTATTGTTACACTAAAAGCTTTGCGACGGCATTAAAAGTGCATTGAAACCGTATTTAAAAATGTTTGCACTACATTTTTTTTTGAAGTTACGGTACTTTAATTTTATTTGTTTTATTTTCTTCAATAATATGTAAAAAAAATATAAAATTACTCTTTTTTTTTCAACGACAACACTTTTTTTTTTTTTGTAAAATTTAAAAAGGAAAACGGAACGATGAACACAATGACATTATATAATATTTGTCATTTTTTAAGCATGATATTATTTTTAAATTTTCAACACCACATCTCCAGAGTTTTAAAATTCTAAGATAACCACGGTTGTATCCATTTTATTTTAAGAAAAACTTAAAAACAAAAAAACTAAAATCAGAAATTACTTGAAATTTTTGCAATTGTAAATGGTATGTAATTAAAAGTGAGATATGTTTAGAGGATTTCCAACAAAAAATTTGGAAAAAAGTTCCAACGAAAAAAGAGTTTTAATTTTTTTTTTCTGTCCTTGCGTCTTTTTACAAAAAGAGCTTAAATAGAAAATCTAATTTTGAAATATATGTAAGCGAATAGACTTTGCTGAGAAAAACCTGTTTCTCCATGGAAAAAATTTTTTTTACGTATTCCCTCCCTTCCTCTCTTGGTTCTCTTTCCCCTCTCCGTTTCTCTTTGGACCCGGTCTCTTCCCCTTACCCTGAGTAATCTTCTCACAAAACTTCAACACTTTCAGTAAAAAATTTCAATTTTTAATTTATATTCATCTACAAAAACTAACTTTTGTAATCCTAAAACTATGCAA